AAAAAAAAAAAAAAAGAAATTAGTCCCTTTTTGGCCTTAATTAAATATAATTCTAAAATGAAAATTCTTCCTGAGAAAATGTACCCTATAAAAAATTAATATTGACTATTCTTATATAGAGTACCCCACACCTAATAATTTGTAAGCGATTTCTCTATTGTTCATTCTTCTTAGCCATATTATCCAAAAGAAAAATAAAATCTTTGCTAAGTCCCTTTGGTACAGTGGAAAGTTACTGATTGACGTAACCAAATGCTAGGAACTCACAGCCAAAGATTTCCCTTCTTTTGCTGTCAACTCAGTGAGAGGAAACACCTCTGTCCTCAAGAAGCCCATAATCAAATTAGGGGGACAGTAACTAGTGCACAGAGCACCCGCTAAGAGCACTGTGAGAGTTCAGAAGAAAAGGAAGTGTAATGGGGAGCAAGTAGTGCTAGAAAATCTGACAGAGGAAGACAAGAAATAGGCATTGAGGAGGGGCCATCTGGCCAGTGGAAGCTGATTTTTAGGTGTTGCTCACTTCAGAGATATAGGATTCTAGTGTCTGTTTTAGCCAGGAGGTACAAATATGTGGCCTGGTAATTCTGCCCCCCTGTTTAAAGAAGCCGCACACCTCTGCCTACAGTGAAGGGAAACCAGCGACACCAGAGTTGACGTGGCAGAAGCTGCTGCGAAGATTAATCTGATCAAATTCAACAGATGCTGCTGGAATCCTCTCCTTCTGCAGGAAGTGACTGTATATTAGAGATGAGGAACTGGGGCCCGAATCATTGCTAAAGAGAAAAGCTTCCAATGGAAGAAAGAAATTCAAGTGACCTAGGGTATGAAAAATTAGGCCTGTCCTTTGGTTAATAATTAAGAAATGATTTTTATCAAAGTTATTTATGCTTTTATTTTTTAAGTACTATACAGATTTAAAATTTCTCAAACAGTATAAAAAGTTGTACAGTGAAAACTAAGTCTCCTCTGAGCAAAAAGTTTTTTCAGTTTAAAAGCTGGACTATCTGGGCCGGCCCCGTGGCTTAGTGGTTAAGTGAGCGCGCTCTGCTGCTGGCGGCCCAGGTTCGGACCCTGGGCGTGCACGGACGCACCGCTTCTCCGGCCATGCTGAGGCCGTGTCCCACATACAGCAACTAGAAGGATGTGCAGCTATGACATACAACTATCTACTGGGGCTTT